ATATTCATCCATCTATTTATCCATTTTCACATCAATTTCATCCATTTTCACATATTCATCCATTTTCACATATATTCATCCATTTTCCACATATTCATAATTTCCACACATTCATCCATCTATTTTACCCACTTTCACACATATTCATCCATCTATTAATTCTTTTTTTTATCACGTTCCCCTTTTCTACTCAGCCGCGCTCGAAGACTGCGAGCTGCGAATGGTCCACCAGAACTCCATAAGGTTTTGGAACCGAGTGGCTTACGACGTCGAGTACGGTGGCGTGGCCTTTTCTTTCGAGGAGGGAGAGAGGCTCGCGAAGGTCCTAGGTGTGTGGGGGAGAGGGAGAGGAGGGAAAGAGAGAGGGAGATGGGGAGGGAGGGAGAGGGGGATAGGGAGAGGGGAGAGCGGGAGAGATAGGGAGGGGGTAGAGGGAGGGAGAGGGAGGGGAGAAGGGAGGGAGGGGGATAGGGAGAGGGAGAGGGAGGATAGGGAGAGGGAGGGAGAAGGGGATAGGGAGAGGAGGGGTAGAGGGAGGGAGAGGGAGGGGTAGAGGGGGAGAGGAGAGGGGAGGGAGAGGGAGGGGTAGAGGGAGGGAGAGGGAGGGAGAGGGGGAGGGATAGGGAGAGGGAGGGAGGGAGAGGGAGATAGGGAGGGGAGAGGGAGATAGGGAGGGAGAGGGAGAGAGGGAGGGAGAGGAGATAGGAGGGAGAGGGAGATAGGGGGGAGAGGGAGATAGGGAGGGAGAGGGAGATAGGGAGGGAGAGGGAGAGGGAGAGAGGGAGAGGGAGAGAGAGAGAGAGAGAGAGAGAGAGAGAGAGAGAGGAGAGAGAGAGAGAGTGTGAGAGAGAGGGAGAGAGAGAGAGAGAGAGAGAGAGAGAGAGAGAGGGAGGAGAGAGAGAGAGAGAGAGGGAGAGAGAAGAGAGAGAGAGAGAGAGAGAGAGAGAGAGAGAGAGAGAGAGAGAGAGAGAGAGAGAGAGAGAGAGGGGGGAGAGGGGAGAGGGAGAGGGAGAGAGGGGAGATGAGAGAGCTTTATTCGTTGCAGTACTAGATATTACACTATCTTATTACTTGTTATAATTTAGATGTGTACAGTGGTATTTAGTTTTGTTCATGATCACGATACTGATTGCATATCATATTTGCTATTATGCTAGTTATTATACTATTTCATTCCTTGTTAAGTTGTAGGGATGTGCAGTGGAGATTCCAGGATTCGAGTTTTATCGCTATTATGCTAGCTGTTAAATTTATTTCATTATTATTTTTTTATGTTCTTAGTGGTTTATATTATTTCATGTGTATCATTGCCTTCAGTAGTATATTATTGTTATATAATTTTATTAGTGTTTAGTGGAGCCACGTGACTTTTTTTCTTATTCGTTATGACGCTTTCAATTATTAAAGTTTATTTGTTCTTATATCATCTTGATGTTTCGATGGTTATGTTAATGTTTGATTTTACTTTCTAATTTTCCGAAGTTCTGGCATCACTGTTTTGACAACTCATCTGCAGAATTATAATGTATGAGTAGAATATTTTTAAAAACTTGAGAATATAAGTTTTTTTATTTTTTTTTATTTTTATTTATTATTATTATTTTTTACTTCAATTTCGAACGCCCTGCAGGAGACAAGGACGTGCTGATCATGGGAAATCATGGCGTCATGGTGGTCGCTCCTACCATTTCCATGGCCTTCGAGATGCTGTACTTCCTCGAACGCGCAGCTATGGTGCAGGTGAGTGCATTTAATTTAGTTTATTGATTTATACAAATACCTGCTTGGGTGGTATTGAGACTGCAATATTATGCACGGAATTTTTATAGGGTTGAGATCACGATAAACAAAAATCCATCTGACATTTAAATTGAGCTGGATTTTAAAAACAACTTGATCGACTGCAATATTATGCACGGAATTTTTATAGGGTTTAGAGAAACACATTCCCACTCAAGGTTCGTAGTTACAAGGGAAGGAAAATCTTAGTAAATACAGATTTTGAAGAATTGCTTTGAAATAAGGTGAAGAATAAATAAACTCGTAATTCAATCTAACGCCTTCGGTTCTGCATTACATTAGGATTCAAGAAGAAAAAACAACAACATATTTTTCTCGTTTGCTTTTTCTTTTCTATTTCTCTCGTTTTAGATTTATTGCTATATTAGGAACCCAGAAAAGAAAAAAAAGGCTTTTACTTATCTTTCTTTTTATTTTCCTCTTACTTTTCCATTCGTAGGTGATGGCCTTTTCCACCCAGCGCCCTTTAAAAGAAATTCCCGAAGAAGTGATTAAGTCCGTAGCCCCCGAGTACATGAAACGCGCGCAGAACTATGCAGACACTCTCTACTACGCCGTCTTCCGCGAACTCCAACGAACGCAGCCGGATTTCGAGAAGTAGTTTGACGGGGGAGAAAAGGGCAGAGCGAAGATAGGAAGAGGTGGAGGAAGATAGAAGAAATGGAAGCAATGATAGAAATGAAGATGAAGAATATCTGGAAGACTGCAAGAGACAGAGGAAACGAATACAAGGAGATAGAGTAGATTTTTGTACCTGGTGTTTTGAAGCAGAAATCTCTCGGTTACTGAAATAAGGCTATTAAAAAATTCCATAAATTCATCTCAATTATTTTTTTGCCCACCATGTTTAAAAATACAGGAGATTAATCTATACGGCATGGACGCACAAACAGGACAAATTGAAGATATTCCTTCAGAGGACTAAAAGTCGTAGTCGTTGGTATAATCTACTGACGCGAACGGTAATACTACTTATAAGAGGAAAGAGATCGTCCACTCGGCACTCCAGAATTTCATCTCTATCTTACCGGGGATTCAGGATGAAGGGGGTGGGGGGGCCCTGGTGGGGGGGGGGCTCCGTCAACCCTCCTCTCGTGCAGTCGGGTACGTCTAGTCACGGCAGTTTAGATTGGTGATTTAAGGTTTTGTCGTTTTTTGAGTTGGGAACTTTGTCTCTGGCGTGTGTGTCCGTGTTGTTAAGAATTACCTTACAAAATAGACTGGGTATGCCTGTTAGTTACTATATATATTTATATTTGCCAAAAAAATCATAATGCAAAGAATGTTTAGACGTAAGCGTGCGCGCGCGCGCGCAACCACACACACACTTCACGCACATACACGCACACACACGTACATCCACACAGAAAGTAGTAGTATAAGTAAAAGCGCTTTAACTCCTTTATTTTGAAAATGTAACAGATGAACACTGCGATACCACCGAAGGACGACTGACAACCTCAACCGGCGGTCCTGTTCCTCGCCGCAGTCGCTCGGAAACCTCGTTCGGTAGTTTGGAACGAACTGAAAGAAGCTAAAACAACACACAGTTAAAGGACAGTTGTTTACATATTACAAATGCTCACAACACTACAATACTTTAATATAATATATTTTTAATTATTTGTGACCCGCATATTATTCTACGGTAGGAAAACTTATCTATATGTTTTCAGTTTGGCTACTGCATCTATTTGTTCAATAAAATAAATACAATATATTGGAAAATTATCACTGGTCTGTACACAGTGATGAATCAAGTATGCTTAAATAGGAAAGGAGGGGATGGAAAAGTACCTAATACGAATAATATATATATAATATATATATATATATATATATTATATATATATATATATATATATATATATATATATGTGTGTGTGTGTGTGTGTGTGTGTGTGTGGTGTGTGTGTGTGTGTGTGTGTGTGTGTGCGCGTTGCGTGCGTGTGCATGTGTGCGTGTGTATGTGTGTGTATGTGTTTCTGTGTGCATATATACATACATGTATATATATAAATACACACACGTTTACATGTATGTGCGTATGTGTGTACGAGTGAATGAGTGAGTAATTGAGAGAGAGAAGAGAGGAGAGAGAGAGAGAGAGAGAGAGAGAGAGAGGAGAGAGAGAGAGAGAGAGAGAGAGAGAGAGAGGAGAGAGAGAGAGAGAGAGAAGTAACTGAACGATGAGAGTGTGTGTGTGCGTGTGGCGTGTGTGAGTGTGAAATGAATGACGGTCTCGATGTATTTCGGATAACGTATCCCCCCCCCCTTGCTAACCTCAGTTTTATTTCTCCCATTTCCCTAACTTCCCCAATGCTCCTTGCTGGAAAATGTCAGTACCCCCCCCCCCCCCCCCCCTTCGCATGTCCTCCTTTGACACATTGAGCTTGGATGTTGTGTGTGTGCCCACACACACACACACACACACACCACACACACACACACACACACACACAGTACGTCATAATGATGATAGATTGGAGAGAGAAGAGAGAGAGAGAGAAGAGAGAGAGAGAGAGAGAGAGAGAGAGAGAGAGAGAGAGAGAGAGAGAGAGAGAGAGAGAGAGGAGAGAGAGACAGCAACTTTCGCGTCTCGCTAACAATGGCGCCTATGTTATACGTAGTTAAAATTAATCAAAAGCAAGCTTAGCATCTTAAAAAGGTGATCTGGGGGAGCACGAACATCACTCATTAACTAAGGCTAACAATTACGCCAACTACGTCATCAAATCATTAGTATGCGCTTGATTTTGATTTCTTTTGTATGGATCATGGTGGACAGAATGGATATACATAAGGCATAAAAGAAACTATACATTCAAAACATGAGAAAAAAACGAAAAAACAAAACAAAAAAAAACAACGAAAAACGAACCTTAAAACTGTCCACGTTAATATAAAATTCACAAAATAAAAGCACAAAAAAATAAAAGCACAGTATCCAACCTAGACTGCCGATCCCCTAAAATCCCAAAATGAGCACTTGTACCTTATCTTAGGAGACCGGGTTGTGGAGGGCAGATTCGCAACGGTTTTTCTCTTGTTCAAACTAACGACCGGTTTCAACTGACGCTCAGATGCTTCCCTAACTATAGTAGGCCGCAGAATGACCAGTGAAAAATTACTGTTGGTTATTTAAGGGGGTGTCGTGATTGTGGTTATTGGATATGCCAGGGAAGTCTTTTTGTCATATA